TTAAGAATGAACCACTAAATTAGCATTCTTTGATACCAAGTTGAGCGAACACCGCGCGTCCATTTAACCACCCTTCTTTGAATCTATAGATATCCTCGCGATTATTGATACCGATTACAACTCTGTGCTCCAGGACATCACTTTTATTTGTACATTTGTGAACCTAAAAACCGGAGATAATATTTTTCTCTGGATTCTCTGATTTCGGTTATTCCACTTCGGTTGGTTTGTTGCCATTTCTGGGGAATAGTTCGATGTTTGTTAACTAGAAGGGAACGATCACATCATCAAACATGCACACCTGACTCGATTTTCTGTCGAACTACTACAAGTACAAGTATGCATACGGCGGGGGCGGGGAGTTCGCAGTGAAATACCACCCACCCACCCACCTCAACCCCTGATATCGGCACAAACATAAAGCCTATTCGGCGATTTCACTTGATCCGTAGGCTCTGTCCCAGTTTCAGCTCATGCTAATCCACATTGCGTGTACCTCGGAGCCTGTTCTATTCGAACACACCTGGTGCATGACTAACACAAACACTTTTGGGATTTTCCATTCTCCTTATTCGCAATCATTGAGATGTGATTTACCTGTTTGTTCTACGTGTACTGATGAGGGTTTTGTTTGTCCATAAATATTAGAAGGATAATTATAATGACAACAATAATAAATGTTTTACTTCCTTTTTGTCCATTGTTTTATTGTTATTTATTGTGCATATGTTTAGTCAACTTTCAGGAAGGAGGTCTCAGCCATACAAAGACTGTCTGGATGAATATAGAATTCGGGGAAGATAGACGGCATTGAGTGTGGTGGAGGCGGGTGGTGAGATTTAATGTTCTTCATAGATCCAAATAAATGATACCTCAGACTGCGCGCTTATTGATTCGGATTCTTCTTTCTCTTACCTTCTGTCACTTTGTCTTCATTCAAAAAAAAATTTACTCTAGAAATTGCATTCCGATCGAGAGTAGATGAGACAATGTATGCATCTCATAAGAGAAGTTCTACATCCCACCCCTGAAGTTTTAGATGATTTCCGTTTCCACATGTATGATTATCACCATTTTGGGGTATTCAGACGGTTATCAAACTGAGAAGCGAAATAGAAAAAGTCCATCAAATTTTCTTTATTTTTAACATAAATATATTTTTAAAAAAAACGTTATCACCTCGATAACGATATTTCCATCCCACCCATCGCATGAACTTCGCACTCCCAACGTGTGCTACATAGATATGCCGAGTTTGTACTTCGGAATGACCACTGATGATGAATCAGTGGTCGAAATACAGATGTAAGCTTATCGACATGGGACATCCTGGTGACAGTTGCTGTTTGTTCAAGTCAATTTCAATGACTTTGACAGGATAAAGGTAACCAAGATTATCACTACAAAGCATTGTCACTAGATGGCGTGATGGAAGAGGCTCTCTGATATAAAGCGAAATCCGGAATCGAACACTTTGGTGAGATCAGTGCCAGCAAGCGTAAGATAGCCAGACAGTATCATAGATCCCGATCAACTATGGAACGATATTTGATGCGGACAAAGCTAAAAACCACTGGTAAGCGGATTAAAAGCCAGAAAATGCTCTCTCGGAGCTATAAAACTGAATTGCCGGTTAGATCCTCCAAGTCTATGAATTATACAATGGAGATAAATCGGTACTGGAGTAAAATGTTTGGAGCAAACGATACAAAGAACATTTAAAACAGTCCCTGGGATAAAATACAAGAGAACGAGAAGGCACAAAACTTTAACAAATTTGCGAATGGGAAGAACTTCGGTGGCGTAGTGGGTAGCACGCTTGCGTTCTGCCCATAAAGTCCCGGGTTCGTTCCCCAGTCGGGTCGATGGATTCGCACTGCTGATGAGACCCAAACAGGTCGAAACAACCGTCTGGTGCTTCCGAGCTTTTCAGTTCAAGCTTCATTTGCTATATATGCGACGAATTCCCATTTGAAATAGGAAAAACGTCGACAGTGAACTGAAGATCATTTAAATTGAAAAAAATAAAACGAATTGAATTTCGTCTGCTTTAGCGACAAGAAGAAATTTAATTTAGATATACCCGACGCGTACCACCACCACCACCACTGCTACTAGTAGTATAATTTTTGGAAAGAACAGCGGCACTTCAGTAAGCGCAATAACCGTCCAACCTCCATGATTGTACGGTGACCAATGGAACTCGCTATTATAGGTACTTGAGGTGCAAGATTCCGGTGCGTATATTCGTTCACTTGAGCGGCACCTTATGCCATCAAATGATCATTCGGAATCGATTTCCAACCGGATAATCCGTAGCTCATGATTAGTATCTAACAAAACGGTGTCTATTATTTCGTGGCATCGAAACCATGATTTACTCTGTGTGCGTGCATCGCGTAAATAATGATGAGGTCAGACGACGTGTGCTAGAACCAAATAGTACTTCGTTGATGAAAGTATTTTCACTGCATGTGCCTAGGGCAAGTGCTACGAATACCTGAGCAACGTCTGCCACACCGTGCACTATTCACAGACATCGGTCCCGGGCTGGAAGAAACAGTGAGGTGGGCAGGCTATGACGTGGGACAGAGGGTTAAAGAGATTTTGCTCAAATCTAGCTTCCGTTGGGGCTCCCCGGCTGGGGCCCAAAAGATTCAGATTATCTTTGGCTTGAGACACTGCGGGATATGGCATCAAACCGAAGTCAATGGCGTGAATACATCCTTCCTCCTGTGCAATCCCAAAAAAATAAACAAAAACGAAAAAGCCTCAAAATGGCGTGTAATAAACAAAAAAACATTTGTTAGTCCCCCAAGTTGACTGTTTTTGTTTTCCTCGTGTCTGTTCCTATATTTTTCGTTAACCCACGGTTATATATATATATATATATATATATATATATATATATATACCAGCATTTCCGTCGTCATGTCCTTTGAACAGTCTGCGATCCCACGGTTCCGTTAATTTGGTAGACAACTTCTCGGTTGTCTGGCTCCATAGCACGCTCATG